CCGTCGTCCCAATCGGACATCGACGAGATCGAGAACCTCATCAACGCCAGCGTCCAGTCCGGCCCCGCCACCGTCCTCCCGGCCAGACCTCCGAGCCCTCCCAGGGCTTCGATCCCCGTCTCCTCCTCGCCGTTCATGCAATCCAACCTCCCTCCTCTTCCGCCTCCCTCGTCGACGACCTCCAACCAGAAGCCGCCCTCCGTCTCTGTCCCTATCCCCGTCGCGCCGCCGCTTTCTTCCTCCGGCGACGGACGGCCGAGCATTGCCTCCGCCGGGTTCGGCTCGCTGCCGAACACGCTGACGGAGCCCGTCTGGGACACGGTAAAGAGAGATCTGTCGAGAATCGTCAGCAACTTGAAGCTCGTGGTGTTTCCGAACCCCTTCCGCGAGGATCCGGGGAAAGCCTTGAGGGATTGGGATCTTTGGGGACCTTTCTTCTTCATCGTGTTCCTTGGTCTCACGCTCTCGTGGTCTGCCTCCGTCAAGAAGGTACGCGCACGGAATTCAATTCCCTCTTTTAGTTGTTATACTGTGTAGATTGACTGGTAAAATTAGGAATTCGAGATATCAATTTGGTTTTTGATCTGAATATTGGGAATCAGTTTAGGGTTTATGAGATCTTAGTTTTACTTGAGAGATGTGTTGCCGGAATTGGATTCGTTGGAGGATTTGTTAGGAATTATTGCCGAGAATTCTGTGGAATATTTCAATGAGCTGAGTTTATTTTGGCTAGTTAACCTTATCTATGAGTAAAGTCATCAGTTATCAAAGAATTGATCCTCATCATGCAAAAGTGTGGGAAATTTTACGGGCTGTGATAGATCAAAGCTTTTCGGCTTTTTATAATTGAGAAGCTTTTCAGATGGATTCGAATATCATCAGTTTAGGGTTTATGAGTTTGAATCTATTATCTTATTAATTCAGAATCCAGCACTTGAAAGGTGAGATCTTAGTTTGGATAGAATTTGATGCATTAGAGGATTTGTGGAGAATTATTGCCTGGAATTTAGAGGAATATTTCAATGATCTGATTCTAGTTGGCTATTCTTTTGAGCAGTTATGGTTTGTACGGTTAGATAGTTAAAACGAATTCATGAGTGAAGCTATCTGTTATCAAGAGTTGATCTCCCTCATTCAAAAGCTTTAGAAATTCTATCGGTTAAAATCGATTAAACCTTACCTAAATTTTAGAAACCTTAAAGATAGTTTTGAAAGTTGTCATGGAAGTCCTGTAACCGTGTGAAATATGACTTTTTGTGCGATTTTTCCTTTGAGGGAACATATTACTTACAAAAACTGCTTTGCAAACACTGCATACATATGGGGAAATGATGGATCTCGGTTATTTGTTTGTCTATTGATATTAGGGTTTGAAAGTAGTTTGCTTTGTCGTTCTATGGTGAAGATTTGGGGTCTTTCAGTAGTTTATTATTTGATCCCACAGACTACATCCTAGAGAAATTTAAGAAATCTATGAAACTGTTTTTCAACACAGAATCTCTTAACAGAAGTATAACCTAAAATCTAGCTGCCTTGAGGAATGAGAGCTTGTTGAAGATTGCTTACATTGAGTAGGAATGCAAGGGGCCTTGCACAGAATATTATGTAAGCCCCAATCTTTATTGCACAATAAAATGATTTGTGGATTAATGAATAAGGACCTGATTGTTTACATTTTTTGTGCTGCATGCTTCCAAAACAGTGAGATTTACAATACTGTATCATTGGCTTCCCTCTTTCTTGAGGCGCCTTATTTATTGGCGATTGGGCTAAAATTTTATTTGCTAGATATATTGCGTTAAGTGTTATTTTATTCTAAAGCATTTTTGACATTTTCAAGAACACTGACAAGGAATTTTGTAAAGCCAGTGTGTTTCTAGTTATCTAATTCTTTCCTGAGTGTGTGTTTCAGAGTGTGCTAGCACCTATAAATTTTGCAGGGCCATTAGCTAGGCACTTTGTTAGTATTGCAAGTGTGCACCTACTTCTATTTATTTTCCGGTCTTTGAGTTGTTTGGTCTGAAGGGGTTTTGTTCTTATTTAATTTCCCTATTTTCTTTATAAACTCTATATAGAATTTAAATGTATGGCAAACAATTTGAGTTGCCTAAGGTTGTATTTCATTGTTCAATTCAGTGTCACACTGCAATTACATTAAGGCCATGATTTATGTGTTAAATTCGATTCCTTTTGACTGTTGAACATATTATGATCTTGTATGGTATGAGATCTAAATGTTTCCTGGTTCCTATGAGTTTCAGTTGTCTGATGTGCTTTCCATGGATGCGGATAGGTGGATGTCAAACTTACTTCTTTTTCTTGCTTTCAACTCATTTTCCGCATATTCATTTCTTGGAATAGATCACTCTTATTTTATCAACTTCCACAGTTACTTTGAGGTGATAGACTTAGGTTTTGATCAACTAATGCGTCTGATAAATGTATACTTATGTCCTTCCTTCCTTCCTACCTGCTAAGAGGGAGAATGAAATTTGTATGAAATTGTACTAAACCTTTCTGATACTGTCACACACCAGTTTGGCTGCAAAGTTGGCACGTCTATGAGCCCTGCATACACATGCATTGCAGGTAAAGAAAGAAAATGAAAGTTATATTGGGAGTGCCACATTAGCTGCGGACCTCCAACAACAGTTTGCAGAGGATTAGAACTTCTGTGCCCTAGCAATGATACTAAGGATCTCTACATCGCTTACCCATGAGAAAAGTTACATGCCACAGTTTCAACTGCATGTTCAATGCATTACAGATTTTATTGGAATAGGACGTTATCAGATCAAAACAATTAAATGACACTGAAGTCTTATCAAGTAGACGGGGTGATTTCTCGTGATAATGGGATTTTTTTTTTTCCGAAGCTTTATAATCATGACTTTCTTTTTAAAGTACATAGAAAATTTTAGCTTTTGCTAATTCCCGGACTACCACCTTTTCTAAAATGTCTATTGTGGATTTATGATTGTTTAGATTAGGCCCCTTTATTTCAGATGATGCCCTTTGTGACTTGGAACTCATCAAAGGTTGTTTATCACATTATGATTTAATCCGCTTGAGAACTGCACAAGTAGGCATGGATAGGAAATATTTTGTTGTAAATGTTGGATTGCTAAATTGGTAGTTTCCCAAATGTCTTGTTGTCCTTCAAGATGTTTACATGTTTTATCTGTCATGAAGGTCTTAGGAAACATTAGAATGGATCTTAAAACTTGTTGCATTCATAAAGGTTCACCGAACCTGACGACACGTAAGATAAATACTTAACCTCGAATTGTTGCGAGTATAGGAATCTGCCTTCTTTAGTAAGTTGATTTATAAGAGCTAGTGTTTTTTTGCAATGCCACTCTACTTAATAACTATGGTCTTGTGAAATTAAGATTCAAGGGTAAGGTTCTTTCGAGATATTGAGATTGAAGGATAAGTTTACACATTCAGTGTTGTGAGGATGTGACAATTTTGTTTTGATTTCCAATTATTTGTACATTGCATTAAGTATTTTTTATTTCACTGTCATTTATACCTAGTTTAATTTGGTTATTTCACTGCTGAAAATATTTCTACTTCTTTTTCCAGTCTGAAGTTTTTGCTGTTGCATTTGCTCTGCTAGCTGCCGGTGCTGTGATTTTAACATTGAATGTGCTGCTCCTGGTAACTCTCTCTCTCTCTCTCTCACCCTCCTCCTCTCTTCTCTTGTATTCATAACGGATATATCTACATGCTACTGAAAGCATACCCTGGGAGATTTAAAGCACACATGCACATGCTTCCTAATTCCTGTTGGCATTAGAACATGTATAAATATTCTGGAAATCAATTTACTGATTTGTGTTTAAGTCTCCTTTTCAGGGCGCTTTAGAAGTTCTGAATTAAGTTGAACATTTCTCTTGTAGTGGGAGAGATCCGGTGATATAAATGTTTTTTTGTCGGGATTTGATATATACAAAATACCTGCGATGATGACCTAAATAACTGGGTCAAGGAAGTAAAACCCTGAATCCATTGTTAGATGGCGGACTTCAACCTGTGTTTGTATTGCAGGGCGGGCACATAATTTTCTTCCAGAGTCTGAGCCTTTTGGGATACTGCTTATTCCCTCTGGACATTGGCGCCCTAATCTGTATGTTGAAGGACAACGTGATAGTGAAATTGGTTGTGGTATGTGTAGCATTGGCTTGGAGTTCTTGGGCAGCATATCCTTTCATGAGTTCAGCAGTCAACCCAAGGAGAAAAGCTCTCGCGCTTTACCCGGTTTTTCTCATGTATGTATCTGTTGGTTTCCTCATTATTGCCATTGATTAATGCACTGGATTGCTCAAACATACTGAACCTCAACATGTTATTACATAGGATTTTTATGTTCTGAGTAATTTTCTTTTCATGTCAACTGTATTTTTTGACTTCTTGATATGTTTGGGAGCTCAATCTACCAATAGAAAAAATATAGCTGTGTGAAACTTACACCTTTTTTTTAATCATAATAGCTTTGTTGTTCTTTAGAAGCTGTTGTCCCTAGTAAGACTACCCAAGACGAGCGTGAATTGGATTTTAAATATTTTTCGAGAGTTTATACAATTATTCGAAGATTAAAAACAAATATAGACAATTAATTCAACACAGTGCGTTTATTAAACATTCGGTGTGCAGAAAATTATGTAAAGTTAATTCAATAGCACAAACACTTGATATGCACAAGATGAATCAATCTAATATCATATAACGAGTTCAATAAACTTATTACCAAGAGTTAAATAAATTAATGTCAACTATCAAATTTAAAGTGCGGAAATTAGAGAGATAGGGTTAAGAGAGATGCAAAAATTAGAGAGATAGCAAAGACAAATAAATTTGTCTACATCCACTGTCGCCGAGATATTCTGCCTCTCGATCTCTTCCACTATACGATCGATTTTCCGGTACGATCACTTTTTTTATAAGATGGCGGATCTTTTTATCCAAGGCTTCGCCTAACCTCTTACACAATGTTGATTTTCTACGGAGATCGACCAACCAAGAAACCCAATACCAAAGTAATGATTATGAATAGTGAAGCATTCAGTTATACACTCCTAACAATGGTTTTACACAATTAAAATGACTAGGAGATGATGAAATCACACTATCAAAAGATAATCCAAGGTAAGTTCAAGTATGTGTGAGAGTAAAGTAAGGATTTAGAGAAGATGATTATATTAGCACTTTAGAGAAACTTTTTTGAATTTTAAGAGATTTGGGAACTCTGAATAAATTCTCTATCTCAAAGAAAATCCACAGAAGGGAAAAATGATTTTTCTCTATTTAAGCTCAATTTCTAACGGTCTTATTTTTTTGCCCGTTACCCAGTACCGGTCGACCGGAGCGGTTGACCGGTTGAGACAAATTTTGAATTCTCGTTGTTCAATGATCTTATTGAATATCTGTTGAGCAGAACCGGTTAACCGGAGTGGTTGACCGGTTGAGACAACACTAGTCGACCGGTGCATTTTGCCTTCTCTGTCACCGGACGCTATAGGTCGACCGGTTGACACTTACTTTGCCTTAAACCTTCACAAAATTGTTCTATTAGGCCAAATGTCATTATGCACTTAGTTTAGTCTCATTTTTAAAGAATAATGTGAGTGTGTGCATGAGCCTAAACAAGAATTAATCATGATAGTATGATGTTAAAATCAAATACAAGACTAAGGAGATATAAAAACCTATTAGTACTTGTCTTGCTTGATTTTGTTTATTTGCTTTTGATCTTTGGTATTTCAACACTTCAAGCCTTGAATTCTTTTTTCAATTTGCATTTCTCAAACTTGAATGTATTTGCATTGTATTCCACAATATGCTTCTTGAGTTGATTTATATTATCAATTATGCTAAATACACAATTCAAAATAGAATCATTAGTAACATAATACATTGTGTTTGTTATCATCAAAACATGAGAATATTCAACCTTGGGCCAACGATCTTGCCATTTTTGATGATGACAAACACTTGATTGCTAAGATAATAGGGGCAATACCATGTTCTCCTTTACAAGTGTATGTCTCCCCCTTATTTAATCACTTGATACTCACTTGAAAATATTCTCCCTCTTAATTTATTAAGCCATTAAAGAAAATGCCTCAATGATCATTTTTATGTCTTCCCCCCCCTTATTTTTAAGCAGTGTCAGAGTGTCAATAGAACATCAAGTGACAATAGACTAAACAACAAAATAGGAACATCAAGTGACAATAGACTAAACAACAAAATAGGAACATCAAGTGACAATAGACTAAACAACAAATAGGAATATTAAGTGACAATAGACTAAACAACAAATAACAATCACTCCATCTCCCCCTTTTGTCATCAACAAAAAGAAAAATTCATCAAATCATAACATCAAGTGACAATGGAAGAAAGAAAATGTGACATGAATCATCAAGGAAATGTAACATCAGATGAGTGACATTAATCATTAACAATGAAAGAACTATCAAAAGACGACGAAGTTGTTTGAGAATTTGTGCTTGAGTTTCGGCGTTTTCTTGATGATGAGCTTGGAATTGCTGGAGAAGATCGTTCCGGAGGTTGAAAATGCTTGAGTCAACAAAAGAGTAGAGACTTTGAATGCCAATGTTTAGTTGCATTCTAAGCTCCTCATGACTCGCACATAGAGACTCAATCCGTCCATAAAGGTTATTGAAAGCATCGTCATTGATCCGAGTTGAACTACCTCCAATATCTTTTTCGCATCCTTCATCCTCAACTCTGGTCCTTTTCTTGGGAATCCACCTTACATTTTCAAACTTGTAACCTATGAGTTTGATTGTAGTTTTATTGTAATCAGATTTAGGTGGATTAATTTCGGTTTCGTCATCAAGATTTACTTTGAAATGTCGAAAGATCTTTGTTAGTACTATCCCATAAGGAATATTAGGATCCATAGCTAAATTATTTCCATCAACCATCTTGTGAAGGATCAAATAAGAAAGATTTGTCCGAATACCTTCGAGAAAGTATAATATAAGATAGAGATCGGTGAATGAAACCTCATCCCTATGCCATCCTTTAGGAGTGATATTGTTTGAGATAATGTGATGAATGATTCTACTCCTAAGGGGTAGTTCATTGGCTTTCGACTTTGCGGGTAGAGCCTCATTATCATCTTCATCGCTCCCTTGAGTTGTGGCTCTTTCCATAATAATCATTGACATCGTTTCTCCACAATAAGCTCAAGAGTCATAAGTATGCATACATCTTTCAACATTCGGAATCCCAAAAATTTCTGAGATCACATCTCTATCAAGTTCTATACGTTGTCCCTTAAGAGTGTAGGTTATTTTGATGTTGGTTTCACAAGTAGTGTATTGCATATGTGCATAAAAGGCTTTTACTAACCTCGGGTAGACTACTTCCTTAACCTCCACAAATGCTTTCCAACCTAAAATCTCAAACAATCTCTCAATATTTAACTCCCTAAACTCACCAAAATCCATAAATTTTCCTTCTATAATAGATTTTTTCTCAAAGAGTTTAAAGTTATGAGAATTGAATTCATCGTTTGATACCTTCTTTCGTAGACCAGAGGAAGTAGCTTTCACATTCTTTCCTTTGCTATGTGATGATTGAGCCCATGAAGCCATTGAAGCAATTCGTTGAACACTTGGTGGGTGATTTCGGATTGGAGTGGATTGGGAGTGAAATTTGTGAAAGAGTGGAAAGAAAAGAGAATGTGAAAAGGAAATATGTTTCTTGAGAGATTTGAATATGATTGTGGAGGAAATTTGATGAAATTTGGATGATTTTAAGGAATGTTGTGAATTGGGGGTGTTTTTGTCGCCTAGGGTTCGAGCTTGAGTGGGAATGAGTGAAAAAAGAAATTTTAGAATTGATTTTAAAGTGTCTGTCACGCACCACCGGTCGCCCGGTGCGGTCGACCGAATCAAGCTTAACCGGTCGACCGGTTGATTATAACGTCCCTGTCTCCGGTCAACCGGTATATAAAGAAAACGTGAAGAAAATAGTTAATTTTTCAAGAAAAAGCCCAATCAACCAATAACCAAATATAACATTTGTTTCCTCATACACCACCACACAAACAAAATGTTAATATCAATTTATTTAAGCATAATAATCATCAAATCATAGATCAAACACTTAATTCTTAAGTGATCAAATTTAATTATGTGGCATCTAACAGTCCTAAACCTCTTCTAAGTGAAGCAAATCTTTCAAGAGCTAGATGTTTGGTAAGGATATATGCAATTTGATGATTAATGCTAATGAATTCTAATGTGATATCACCATTTTGTACATGATCACGCAAGAAATGATGTCTAATCTCTATGTGTTTGGTGCGTGAATGCAAAATCGGATTTTTTGACAGGTTGATCGCACTAGTGTTATCACACATGATAGGGATATGATCATAGCTCAATCCTAGGTCCAGAAGTGTTTGCTTCATCCAAGGACTTGCGCACAACAGCTGGCTGTCGAGATATATTCGGCTTTCGCGGTTGATAGAGCAACTGAATTTTGCTTTTTGCTAAACCAAGAGACTAGTGCAAATCCTATGGTGCAGTCTGCCCAATCGGCATCCGTATAACTGAACAAGTCAATGTGTGTGCTCTTTGGATACCATAATCCTAAACTCTTAGTTCCACTAAGATATCTAAAATTTTTTTTTACCGCATTTAGATGTGACTCTTTAGGATTTGATTGATATCTAGCACACAAACAAACACTATACATAATGTCCAGTCTACTTGCGGTTAAGTAAAGTAAGGATCCGATCATACCTCGATATTTCGTTATGTCCACGGCTTTTCATCCTTGTTTAATTTAATAGATGAGCTCATTGGAGTAGATAGAGGTTTCATTCCTTCAAAGTCAAACTTCTTAAGTAGATCTTTGACATACTTAGCTTGATTGATGAAGATGCCTTCCTTTGTTTGTTTGATTTGAAGACCAAAAAAGTTGTTTAGCTCTCCCATCATATTCATTTCGGACTCACTATGCGTGCACTTTGAAACTCTTCACAAAGAAAAACATTAGTAGAACAAAAAAAAATATCGTCAACATAAATTTGTACAATAATTAGATCATCGTCCTTGGTTTTTGTAAATAGTGTAGTATCAACTTTTTCGTTTGAAAATCCATTTTGGAGTAAAAATTTGCTAAGTCTATCATACCAAGCTCTAGGAGCTTGCTTTAAATCATATAAAGCCTTTTTCAATTTAAAGACATAATCCGGATACTTGTGATCTTGAAAACCGGGTGGTTGTTCTACATATACCTCTTCTACAATGTATCCATTAAGAAAAACACTTTTAACATCCATTTGATAAATAGTGAATTCTTTGTGGGATGCAAAGGCTAATAACATTCTAATGGAATCTAATCTAGCAACCGGTGCAAAGGTTTTTTTATAATCGATTCATTCTTCTTGATTGAAACCTTGGGCCACTAATCTAGTCTTG